GGCTGATTTTCTGTTAACTCTACGCCACGTTCAGTTTATGGAGTTGCGTTTGGGTCCTTTTGCCAACACCTACAGTCTGCCCTCGCCAGACTGTGACAGTTTCGTGTCCTCCCCGCTCTGTCATGTGTAATTGTCCTCAGCTGTGTTTCCTGTGTGCTTCCACTTCCCTCGTTACCTTCTGTGTATTTATGTCAGCGTCCCCTCTGTTCCGTGTTGTGTCGTCCCTCGTGGTTGTGTGTGTTTCCTTGTGTCTCCCCTGTGCCTTAGCTTTTAGTTTCTTCCAGTACAGTGTTGTATCGCTCCCTGTTTTCCTGTTAATAAAGCCGTGCCTTTTGAGGTTATCCCCGTCTGTCTTGAATCGTGCGTTTAGGTCCTCTCCTGCTTACACACAACCCAAACCTGAGAATAATTAGCTAAGACCACTGGGTCTAGAGATGGCTTTTTAAGTAATGGCAAATTAATTAATTAATTGTACCAGCAGCAGCTAGGTCTGGGGAGGCATCCAAGCCCTCAAAAAACTATTAATGCGCCCCCCAGCCCCAGCAGCCTCAACCTGGCAGAGGTGCTCAACACCTTGTTTGCTTGGTTTGAGTCTACCCCTCCCTCATACTCCCTGCCACCCTCCATCTCCCTTCAGGAACATGAGGTCAGGAGGAGACTGAAAGTGGTGAACCCCAGCATCACTGAAGAACAACTCAAACAGAACCCCTGTTGTGTTTCATCTTTAAATCGAGGGGAAGTAAATCCACAGCCATGTTTTCTGCAAAGGGAACAATAAATTATTTATTTATCAGAAGATTTTAATTCTATCTTCTTATATTTTCCTTCACATTGACTGGATACATACAGGAGATTTCTGGGACTCTTCGTAAACATTTTGGATTCTTTGGCTTGCGTGTACTCACATTCTGATCATAAAATCTTTATTGAATATTTTGCTTACAGCTGATCTGTTGCTTTTTTATTTATTCTATGATCTCTACCTTTCTACCTCTACAAGATGATCCCCTCTCACCTTCCTGTAAGGGAAGTTTATTTTGGAAACAATTCAGACAAATCCAGGACCCTGAGCAGGACTCCTCATCCACAGGTAAGCTGTCTGAATCCAGCTATGGCACACCCGTATGTACCACCATGTGTATCTGCTGTGTGGTTCAAACACGAATCTTGAACATGCTGTTTGAGACGATTCAGGATGCTCTCTACAGGTACCCTCGTCATCTCTGAGTTCATCTGAAACTTTCTGCTTTATCGTGAAAATGTCCTGTGTGGCTTGTTTTATCCTGAGTTTAACACAAACTTTATTTCATGTAACTTTACACTAACAGCAGGTTCATGATGTCATTCCTGTATAACAGGAAGTCCGCATATCCTGCTGTTTCGATGAGTAATCCTTTAGTTTTCCCTCAGAGGATTGAACCTGCTATCTGATCTTTCCAAAGATGTAATATAACCATGATACAAAGTCCTTTATTATGATTTACAAGTTATGAGGTAAGTTTTTAGGTCACTTAATCATCTCTGACAGCAAATATTGAAAACCTGCCTTTGGAGAATTGGCCCATTAAAGATGCCACATCAGGAAAACATGTCCAAAATCTCCTTTTTATTGCACACAGAGACAGTGTGAGGAGCTGCTTTCGGCCTCACACATCTCAAGAAGTGAGGTTTAAAAAACTCTGTCTCACCTGTGATGATGTTACTGACCACACAGCGCCATCGGGTGGTCATCTCCAGGTATTACACCTGTATCATTTCTGCTGTGTTGTCATTATTCGAAGCTCTCTAATTATTAATAAAGATGACACTGTTTTATTTAACAGTTACAACAAGCTGACATCAAATCAGAAAAGTGAAGGGAAGGATGAGAAGCAATTAATAACATAATCGATGATAATCAGTAACAGGCAAAATGATCAGTCTGTTTAAGGGAAACTTTGAAGCACAAATAAAAGTCAGAATGCTGAATGTGATTGGACGGTAGTGGCATCTGTTTGAGGGGGTGTGATGGGGTTGAGCAGATCAAACTGAGGTTATTGTACTCGGCCCTGAAAATCTTAGAAATATGGTATCTAACCAGATTCTTACTCTGGATGGCATTACCTTGGCCTCCAGTAACGCGGTGAGGAACCTTGGAGTCATGTTTGACCAGGACATGTCCTTCAACGCACATATTAAACAAATATGTAAGACTGCGTTCTTCCATTTGTGCAACATCTCTAAAATTAGAAATATCCTGTCTCAGAGTGACGCTGAAAAACTAGTTCATGCATTTATTACTTCCAGGCTGGACGACTGTAATTCATTATTATCAGGATGTCCAAAAAACTCCCTGAAAAGCCTTCAGCTGATCCAAAATGCTGCAGCAAGAGTCCTGACAGGGACTAGAAAGAGGGACTATTAGCTCTCGCTCTGCAGGCCTACTTGTTGTTCCTAAAGTATTTAAAAGTAGAATGGGAGGGAGAAATTCCTTCTGCGGAGGTTTCTTCCTGTTAAAAGGGAATTTTTTCTTCCCCCTGTCACCAAAGTGCTTGCTCATAGAGTCTGATTACTGAGGTTTCTTTGTATTATCGTAGCATCGTTTTGTACAATATAAAGCACCTTGAGGCAACTGTTGTCATCATTTTGGATTACATAAATAAAACTGAATAGAACTGAATTACATTATGTTTAGTCAGCTGTAGCTAATAAACTGATCTGAGGAAAACTCCGTAGATAGAATCACCTGACGTGTGGGATCACAGCAACCTCCAGGTTTGCCTACTCCTGCAGAACAGCCACACAACATCAGCTGGATCAAGCAGAGAATGGCTGAAAAACCTGAAATTGCCTGGCTGGACTGAAAGAAAGAAAAACAGGCTGCTGATGTTCCCTTGCCCTAACTAAAAATTTGAAACAGTTTCTCTTCTCTTCAGCATGTTGGTCAAACACCTATAATCTCTGCTCCACAGACCTCTGCAGCTAGGTCACAGCTGTTACAGCCAGTCCGCATTCACCTGTGCTCTAAATACACATTCTCATTTAATTTAACATGAAAGAAAAAAGCTCACTATGTCCAGGTCTGACTCCCCAGGGTCGCTGTTGGTAAATGCTTGAGATGCATCCAGGAAGAAGACCGTCGCTGTGACAAGTTAAGTCACACCAGCAGCAACATTTAGAACCACAGCACTCTTACTCTGCATAGAAAACCACACCTTGCTATTAGTACACCTGGAACACCTGAAAATATTCATCAGTTCTATGAGGCAACTCTCTCATTGGCTCTCACAGACAATTAGCAAGTAATGTGTTTAATACATGAAAACATATGCATAGCACACATTCAAAGGAACCTGCAGACACCACTCTGATCTTTGAGGAAGCCTTCTTTTATGGCCACTTTAGCCAAGGATCAGCTGAAGTACAGCTAAGGTCACGTCACAGAGATGAGTTACTGACCTTAGGTCTCTGTGAAGTCCCATCATAGATCGTCATACACCCAGCTATGATGAACTAAAAGAGAGAGCAGTGATTAATTAGGGAAACGATATGAAGGGGAAGAAGTGTCAGCTGACTCACCATCACTGGTCCCCAGATGTACACCATGCAATCAGAGACCAGACCTTTGGACCGTGTTGCCCTCAGGATCCCAAAGACCATGACAGTCAGAGCAACTATGATCTGAATCACCTGCAGGAAGACATAAAGTCTCAGAGGAAACATTCAGAGCCTTTGGCTCATTCAGCCTTTGTAAGAACAAGTGATGCCAAAGAGATGATGAAAGAAACACTTTAACATTTGAAACATTTATGCTTGAAAGTCAGATGTTCCCGCCAAGTCATTAACAATCAGCTGACCTCCAACTTCTAGTCCTGTTTAAATTGTCCCTGATGAAGTTGTCATGATGCCAAAGATGTTATCTCCACATTTACTGAACCACATCCTTACACTTTGTGCTGAGAGGAAGTTTGAACTAACCGGTAACACGAGTCTGTATTCACATTTAGCTTGTCTTCTGGACATCATCTTTCTGAACTTTAATTTCCAACAGAGATTATTTTCCAAGGTAATCCAAAAGCCTCTGAGGACAGACGTCCTCTGTCATTAAAGTCAGCTCAGAGATCGACAGCAGAGCAGCAGCGTGGTTGTGAATCACATGCCTTCAGCATCCACAGGTTAAAGATCAGTGGTTTAATCATCTCTGTCTGGATTCAATCTGACCCCATCAGGATGTAAAGGTGTCTCACCCCCAGTGCTGGCAGTTGCTTTCTGGTGATGTAGTACCGCGGTAAAACCACGACCACGGTGCCTGATGCTGCCCCTGCTGATGGAGATTGCTGCATGTCTGAGCCCACGAGAGTCAAGCTGCTGTGCTAAGTACTGAGTTAATTATTGACTGGATTTTTATCATTTTATCTCAAACACACCTGAACAGACTGAGGAAGTCAGTGGAAAATCGTGTATATTATAGAGTAATTTGGAGGACTTTGCCAATCAGCTCTCATTTTATTATTGCCAAGACAACAATAAAACACCCATCAGTGCCTAAATAACAACTTTTTACTAATCATGTGAGGCTAGATGAGTAGAGATTATAGATTCATAATAAAGTCAATGTCTCACCTGAGACCAGCCCTGTATCGCGTTTGTAGGTTAAGGGAAAAATACTTTGCTGTGATAAAATGAAACCTTTTCTAACTTCCCCCCTGGACGATGAGGGGAATCCACCCACAGGTGGAATTGGTTTTTGCTTCTCATTCTAATGACTGAGTCTCGGCGATCATCTCTTCTTCTTCTTTTCTTGTGTATATTTTGGCAGCCAAAGAGTCACAAAGCACACTTCAAGAACTAGAAAAATGCAAAATTTTTGTCCTCAAATATTTATATGTTTTGAGATTTTTTACATATTTATATCCCTGTATATCTCCAAGGAACAATTGCTCTCATGGTTATGCACTGTGCTGCCCAGACTGTCAAGTTATGTTCCTTGTGTTGCATTCAAGGACTGATGACAGATGCTGGAAAAACTCCAGCAAACAAAAAGTTCCTTTAATTTGTTTTCATCGAGTTCTGAACTAGGGATGGGCACCGGTATCCGGTGCCATTATGGCACGGTTCTGACATAAACGGTAGTAACCAGACCGAAAAGCAGAGCACATTTCGGTGCTTTACTTCGGTGCGTTTTTCCCCTGAAATGTCATACAATTTGGATTCTAGCCAATCATTTTACCTTTGCAAGCGTAGTAGGTGGGCCCAAGTACGTACGTTCTTTTAGAGCAGAGCTACAGATTAAAAATGCCCAAGGCAAAGCGGTCAAAGTCTGGCTGTACTTCACAGCAAAAGATGCAAACTCAGCAGCCTGCAACAAGTGCTTTAAGGTGATACTGTGCAAAGGAGGTAACACCTCGAATCTGATGAAACACCTGGCGACGTATAGCATTTTTTTAAAAGCCCAGAAATGCGCTGTATTTGATAGCTTGCTGCGAGACCTCACACCGAGCACATCTACTGCGGGTGTGGTGCCTGTTATCGGACCGGAGTTAGCAACATCCCCCAAAAACCCGAAGAGGAGAGTCCTTGTCATGATCCTGGGCCATGTTGGCCTAGTATTCTTAGTTTTATGTATCTTTGTATTTCAGTTCCCTGTTTAGGCTCTGTTTCCTGAGTTGCCCTGTTGTGGTGTTCCCTGAGTGCTTTCCCTTTGTGACTCTCACCCCCTGTGTGCCCCTCTGTGTATCTGTGAGCCTTCGTCTCTCCTTATGTTTTATTCCATGTTTCCCCAGCCCGTTATGTCTGTGTTTTTCCCCGTGCTCTCTCTCCTCCTGTCTGAACCTCTGTACTTCCTGTTTGACTCTGCCCGTCTCCCGTCAGTGTCTCGTTATGGTTATCTGTGTCAGCTGTGTTCCCCGTGTGTTCCCACTTTCCTCGTTAACCCTCTGTGTATTTCTGTCTGCGTCTCCCTCTGTTCGGCGTCGCGTTCTCCCTCATGCCGTGTGTGGTTCTCCCCGTGTCTTCCGGTATATGTTACTTTAGCTTTTCCCAGTTTAGTGTAGTTTTGCATTGCTTTTGTATCATCGTTATTGTTTATCACCTGCCAGCAATAAAGCTGCATTTTGAGTTTATCCCCCGTGTCTGTGAGTTTGCAATTTGGGTCCTCATCCTGCCTGCCACACGGCCGAATCATGACAGTCCTGGCCCCTAGCCCTGCCAGTGTAGCAGAAATGATGAGGATGATGATGCAGCAGCAGCCGTTCTTCTCTGCGTGAGTAGCTTCATGTTGTTCGTGTGTAATTTACGTTGAGTAGGCTAACCACGTTATTACATTAATGCATGTAAGGTGAACTAGCAAACATCATCATAGCTACATGCGGCTGTCTTCTTGTTTGATGGCAGATACTCCCTTCACCCTGGCCAAAAAGGCTAAAATGACCAAAGAAAAAGTGGGAAACAGCTGAACATGAGAGGTTTTTGGACAAAGTTTGTGTTTTTTCCATTGATTAAGCACTGCTTCCAGCCAAGAGTGATACCATATATGCCCCATAGCTGCAGAAAAGGCTAACATTGTTATCTTTTTACAAAAAAACAGCTAAACATGAGAGTGTTTATGTTCTTGATTATTTAATCACCGGTTTGAGCACCGTTTAAGCACCGGCACCGCTTCAAAAGTACCGGTTTGGTACTGGTATTGGATAAAACCTAAACGATACCCATCCCTAGTCTAAACCCCATTAAGGTTAACCAACCTAAAGATTCATCAATGTTTTAGAAAGCTTCCTGCCTGATAACTCAAAGAGCCCATGTTCTCTCTGGTGTTGTCCCTGTAACACAGTGGTTCTCAAGCGGAGCTGATGTTAAACATCGCAATCACGTTTACAGCGGAACAAAGAAATTTGCAGAAGTTAATAACATGTACATCCACTGCAAAGCTGCAGCAGCGTGTGTAAGTCGGCAGCTGCAATAAAGAAGTGTACTGAAAAGTGCGAATACATGGGCGAATCTGTCGTTCATTGTTTACAGCGGTGCTGAAACCCTGGATTGGGGCACGACAGACTCGCCCACGTGTTCGCACTTTTCAGTACACTTTTTTATTGCGGCTGGCGACTTACACATGCAACTGCAGTGTTTCAGCTACAGCTTACACACATCAACAACAACAACAACAACAGGACCCAGTTCTTTCTGTTTTAAGCCGGCAAGGCATGATTGGGGATTTTGCTCAGGTGCAGCCGCCTCCCCCGCAGCTGCATCACAGACCACGCCACACCACCGCTCTGCAGTCAAAAACAGGCTGACTGCAGCCACTAAGAGTGAAAAGTATTAAACTCTCACTAAATGACATATTTCTCATCTCCGTTCAAAAGTTTCTGGACTTATTTCCATGTTTGGTTCACATCCTGTTCAACTTGTTGCTTTTTAGAAGAAGTGCTTCAGACGATTGAAGCAGTCGAGGGACAAACGTTACAGATAGTTATCTGAAATGAAAGTTGTTTAAAACAAAAATGACTGAAGGATTCATTGTGACTGAGTTTATGGCTTTAATTTTCTTTAGATGGGGCGTGAAAATATTTCTTCCTGCCATGTGGGGAATGATGTAAAACATTGGAGAACCACCGCTGTAACGTGTTGTAAAGGACTTCACTCATTCAATTCATGCTTCTTTGGCAGCCCATCCTAAAGACACTATTTTCACAAAATCAAAACTTGGTGATTAAAATTGATTTTTACAGCTCATCTCTGGGAGTAAAAGTTCAGCCTTTTTTATTGCGACATTACTTTTTGAATCTGACCCTGCTTAGTGCTGGACCAATCAGAGCAGACTTGTTGAAAGTTAAACATTAAGGCTCAGACATGTATTAAGTCCAGTCTTGGACCAAAAATGTTTTTTACGTGAAGCTACAGGTTAAAATGGCTTTTCAATTAGCACTAGCTTTAATCCACATCTGGGAAACTGGTTATGAAAGTAAACGTATTACCGTATAGCCTGTATTAAGGCCCAGTGATCAATAATCTATTTTAAATATATTTAAATAAATCTAATTTTAAATAATCTGCAGATTTTTTTACATTGCAGTCATAAAATGTTAAAATGTACCAAACTAATAAACCACCTTCAGCCCAGAATCAAAGTGCAAAACTCTAAAATCCCCGAAGCCTAATAAATGTTCAATTTACGACACAAAGCTTTAGAGAACTTTTATTGATTGGCCAAAACGCTAAATGCAAAAGGAGACCTAACCCTAACAGGAGATAAACACCAGAAGAGAACCTGTGATTTAACACCGTGACTCTGCAATGTGAGACGATAGCTGTGTCCCAATCCAGCAACCACATGCTTTGTAATGCGCATTTGTAGACTGATTACGTCACAACGATGCAACGAAGGCTGTCCTCAAAGAGTCCTCCAAATGCATCCTTAATTTCCCCAGATTTGAAAGCTGGGTCCGGTGTAGCCTTCGTGGCCCAACCTATCCCACAATTCATAGCGCGGCGGTGGGTGTGGATAGTTTTTTGTGAAAAAATCGCAGATGGGTGAAGCGGAGCAGCTGAAAAGTGAACTTTTAAATGTAAGTACTGAATGTTATTTATTTATGTGCAAATGTTTAATAACGAAGAACATTAAAACAT